AAACATCAGGAAAAAAACAACGTGTGATGATATCGATGACCAGCTACAAGCAATTTTCAAGACAATGGAAAAATGTGATGGGCCTAGCATAGAAGAGTGTAGTCGAGTTTTGAATAATATAACTATGATTCAAATAGATGGCCCATTATATATTGTTGCTCTGAGTGTTTTTTGTGAGTCTAAATCGCATAAACAGACGTAGATGATGATAGTTGAGAAGTCAGAAGAAGTTAAGGTCAATTGGCTAACAATAAATGCCAAAAAATTAGGATTTCTTTGAATGTATTATTTTTAACAGTTTGCTTTCCCTTGGAATTTTTAATAATTGGATTATTTGATTTATATCAATTCTTATATCAAGAATTGTTTTAGTTAGTACATGTAAGTGAATTTTCAATTATTATTGGTTTTTGCCTATTTAATTATTTTTTTGTGCCTCTTGAAATTCAAAGATTATATTTGTGTTAATTTTAACTATAGATGGAAATGTCTATGTAATTTCTACTTTGGTTTATAATATATGAAAACAAATAAATTTATTAGTTGTTGACATGTTGTTTTATATCGTTACATTCATAAAATTATTAAATAATAATAAAATATTTTTGAGGTGTTGATAGAATGGTAAGGGATGAATGGATGAATGCTTTAAAGAAAGTTTCATTTCTTCTTTTAATGAAGAAATTAAAGAGGAAGAATATTAGAAGAAGGGCTGATATTTCCCTTAGTAGAGCTCAATATTTAAAAGAAATTCTTGAAGGGAATTGAGCACATTGTCATGAAATGTTAAGAATGGAGAAGGATGCATTCTTGAATTTGTATACCCATTTTAAAAATAAAGGGTGGTTGAAAAAGAGCCGTGATATTTCTATTGAAGAGAAGATGGCGATGTTTATTTCAATTTTAAGTCATAACTTCAGAGTTCGCGTTGTTAAACGAAGATTCAACCATTCAACTCATACTGTGACAAATATTTTCATGAAGTATTGCATGCAATGCTGTTTTTTCCTAAAGAAATGATTGTACCAACAACGTACAATCCAAATTTAACTCAAAGTCAGCATCATCGACATCTTAGACAAATATTTCAGGTAATATTTATAATTGACTTACTTATTTTATTAACTTATTTGTAAAATTTTCTTTTAAATAATATATTTCTATTTGAAAGGGTGTTATGGGTGCACTTGACACGACTCTCATTCACGCGGTTATTCCACCTGAAAAAGCAAGTGCCATATAGGGGAAGGGGGAGAGGAGAATGCTATCAAAATGTTCTTGCAATATGTGATTTTAATGTATTTTTACATTTATATTGTCTGGTTGGGAAGGCATAGCACATGACTCAAAAGTCTTCACGGAAACTATAAATGATTGTGACAACAATTTTCCATATCCTCCACCAGGTTAGCTGTTTTTACTACTTTTTTTTTTAGTAATACTACGCAATATTTTTGAATATTTATTTATCACGCAAGAAAAAAAATTAAATTACTTATCATATATTTTATTAACCATTTTAAGTATATTACATTGTAGATAAATATTATTTGTGTGATATTGCATATACACACACCCGAAGATTCATGGTACCTTATCACAATGTACAATATTGGTTAGCTGACTTTCAAAATGGTGGTCGTTAAGAGCTATTTAACTATGCATATGCCAAGCTAAGGAATGTGATTGAAAGAGCATTTGGAGTATTAAAGGCATGTTTTCCAATCTTGAAAAGGATGGCACCTTATACATTTCAAGTGCAGAGGAATATTTTTATTACTTGTGCTATTATTCACAATTACCTTTGAAAAACTATCGTCACAGATGAACTCTTTGAACAGTATAAGACTGAGGATTTGCAATTTGAGACTCTACCTAATATTGCTGAAAATTTGACATCCTCTAAAATTCACACCATAGAAAGGCAATTCGATCAAGTGTTTATGGTTAATTTGCGTAACCAAATTGCAAATGACTTGTTTAGTTCTCAAGTTTAAAATTTTATATATTTAGTTTAATTTAACATTTTTGAGACATTCACATTTTTAATGAGTACTGCTTGAACAATGTTAATTATTTAAGTTTGAATTTATATTTTTTTATGATTAGATTTGACATTAATATTCATTGTTAAATTGATATATTTCATTGAGTGAATGTGGTTGTTTTATTAATATTTTTGTATTATAAATAAAAAACTATCACGAGTATCAAATATTGAGACCAAAAATGTAATATGTACAACTTTCAGACTTTAGTTTTTGTATATCATAAACAATTTTAATGAATTCAGCGCTTAAAATTAAACCGTTATCAAACATGTTTTCATATTAATACATTAAGTATTTAAAATTTTCGGTGCTTAATTCTTAGTTTTATCAAAGAGTACTTAACATACACGGACCTCCATTCCCTTATGTAACAATCAACGCCCGTCAATGCTGGTTTTTACTGATGTCATGCACTTAATAAATTAAAATTCCCATTATACTCTTTATTTTTATTTTTTTATTTTTTATTTTTTATTTTTAAAAAGAAAACAAATTTCCAGAGAGAGACAACACAGACCATCATTTTGATACCCATTTTGTAAAATTATTTTGATTTTTTAACAAATTTCTAGAGAGAGATACCCATTTTGTAAACTCATTTTGATTTTGAAATATATATATATATATATATATATATAAAGAAAGAGAGTTCCACAGAGAGAGAGAGACACACCACGTACCATCTTTTACAAGCATCATGCACAGAGGTACTTCGAGAGTTCCACAGAGAGAGAGTGACACACCACATACCATCTTTTACAAGCATCATGCACAGAGGTACTTCATCCCCATTCAGACAATTAACTAATATACAAAAATTCCATGAGAAAAATCCTTAAGATTGTCGAAGTGATTCAAAGAATTCACGCTGTTAAGATATATATATATGCGCGCGCACGTATTAGGATAGAGAAAGAGATGAGAGAGAGAGAGAGAGAGGGGTAATTCAGTCATTTATTATAGTAATTTAAGGGTATTTTATTAAATTAAACAGATTCGTTAATTTGTTTGTCAGTAGAAGGGGAAGTGCTTGGAAGTTAGCTTCATTTTTAAAATAATTTGTTTGTCACAAGAAGAGAAAGTTGGTGTAGGTTAGCTTTATTTTTAAAATAGGTTCATATAATTTTTCAAATCACAAAGAAGGTTTGAATGAATGATATATTAGATGTTAGGAACTTGGGATTTTATTATAATACACCAAAAATTAGATTCAATAGCATTTAGAGTTATATATATATATATATATATATATATAAAGTGATCACTTGGAGACGACCTTTAGCTAGTACCACTGCTGAAGAAGTACATTTGTAGGGATGTTTTTTATTTTTTATTTTTCCTAGAACAACCTATGCTGATTGATGAGGTACCACAAAAGTATATTCAAAAGTTGCAATGGGCTTTTTTTGTGAGACATGTGTATAATGTCATAAGAAAAAAATTCTAAAATAATAAAAAAGTTACAAGCAAATTAAGACTCAACGCAAATACTTGAAAAGAAAATACACGGTGAAAGAAGAACAAACAAGTCAAATCCCATTGGCACTGGTTCAATTGTAATTTGTAATATGAAATTCTTACCATATAAAAAGACAAAAGAAAAAAATGGAGCTTCAAAGCCTTCAATATATAGTAATTTGTAATGTGAAATTCTTACCATATACAAATTTGTATGACAAAGTTGTAGCCATCTACATTTTATATATAGAAAACTTCTATAAATTTATTTTATTATTATTAATTTTTTTTATAAATAATTTTTCTTACCTAGTAAATATATATATATATATATATATATATAAAGGACATGGATCATCTTCTGTAAAAGAGAGCTCAAATCATTGATTAGACAACTGATATTGAGTCATTCTATCCGTAGAAATTAGATCAAGTAATTTGATGGTGGTATGGCTCCATAATTATAGTCTAATCAATAATCAAACATCCCTTTCACAAGAGGTGAACTATTTTCCTTACTCGAGTACATTGAGAAATAAGATTTTTGATAACAATCATGATTTTTTATTTTTTATTTTTTCACAATACACATAAAAAAAAAATCATGTTATAGGAAATGGTCCTCATCAATAAATTTTTTTATTTTGTTGACACATAATATTTTTTTTAAAGATTGGACTTGATTTTATTTTTCCAGACAATGGAATCTCACTTTATAAAATCAAATGAAACTTGGCAAGACTCTATACTCTGTATTAGTTCAATCTGCAAATTCTCTCTTTTTTGATAATATGAAGCATATTTACAATAAATTTTTGTTATGAACAAAAAAAATAAAAATAAAAATGAGGTGTCAAGGAATACTTAGCAAAATAACTTGCTATTTTCGTTGTAGCAAAGAACCACCCAATGTTTTGATCCGAGCCCATTTTCATCCCCTTAGCGATTTGTCACACCAGATCACAATATATTTCATAATTTTGTTTGACTTTATTGTATTTTTCCATGTTGAACATAGTTCATGGAGCATCTGCAAACAATCGTTCCCTCTAGCTCGTTCATTTTCATTATATTTCTTGACTAAAATTGGTGCTGAGATGTAGAGCCGTTGACAACATTCTCAGATTTGTAATTTAGAATAAGTTTCGAAGGGGCTCTGTCTCAGTGAGTTCCTGTGCCAAAAAAAAGTTGTGAAATTACATTTTCACCCACGACACACAGACACACACACATGAGTACAAAAAAGTAGAACAATTGGGTGATTGATGAAACCTATGACAATGAAATCTCAGAGTCTCACTTGGGAAAATTAAAGTCAAGACACAATGGGGTCAGTCAAAACAGTCACTGCCATTTTTGTAGTCTTGTCACATTACAAATCACACAACACCTAACACCCCCCGTGGGTCACCTTATCATTGCCCTGCCCGGACTGCCCGATCTGCCCCCCTCTTGCCCGCTCTCCTCTACCCCCTTCCTTTTGCCGTCTGGCGAGGGCTCACGACGTTATATTTCGGACTTTCTCTCTCTAGATCGTGAAAATTTCCTCTTTCGAAAGGCGGCTCTCTCTCTATATATAATATTTTTATATGTATTGGATCTGAAAATCTGTCTTTCGGAGCTTGAATCGGATCGATGCGTATCGGTCAATCGATGCGAGTTGAGAATTGAAGCCTTAGTATCGGAATTCGATTGCTTTGGATCGTCGCATCAACGGAAATTAGGGTTTTTTGTGTGATTGGTGAAATTGGGATGATCGGAGGATGGTACGAAGGCGATCTAGGGTTTTTGTACGGCGTGAATTGATGAATTTCTAGGGTTTTCTCTCTTGTTTTGGCGGAATTAGGTTGGGGATTGATGGTTCTCGGTGGGGACGAAGCTAAAATTGGGGAAGATGCAAGGCTATTATGCATGGGCGGGAAGGTGAGAAGAGGAAACAGGGTTGGCACATGTGGTCGGTCCCCTCGCGTGGCAAGACAACGACCAGGACTGTAGACAGTGATTCTATAGCATCTACAGCTGATTCCTTCTGCAAGGTACTGCCTTGGTGGGTCTTTCAATTGTTTCTATAGTGTATTTCCATTGATTTGTAGCTTTAATTGGCATAATGATGTTCTTGGTTATGCAATTGGAATTATAGAAAGTGAATTGTTATTTGATTGTTATGTGTTGTCTCAAAAAGTAATACTGTTGTGTTTGGGTTGGCTAAATGATTGGAAGAGCATCATATGCAAATCCATTTTCTTTAAGAAATTTGTGCTGTTGTATCTCGAGTGATTCAATTTTTTTTTTTTTTTTTTCTTTTGGTAGAATTAAGCACCAAATCTGTTAGCTGGGAACTTTACTGGGTATTTGTGCAGATGCCGTTCTTCTGGGAGGGGAGATGCGAGGTTGGATTGTTGATTTAATGTTTGGTCCTCTACTTTTAGACTACTTTTATTTTGATAATTTTCTAGGTGTGTACTTGTAAAAAAGTAATTACAGTGTAAGTTCTCAGGCTTGTAGCACCTAGGTTCTTAGATGTGTACATGGAGATCAGAGCAATAGTATAACACTATTTCTTACCATATTAAGTTTACTAATTATAGACTTCCTCTACTGGTGAGCTTAACCAATCAACTAATGGAGTACTTGGGGTTTTGATCGTAAAAGTTGAGAAGCCAATAGGAGGAGCCTAAATTGAGTTGAATTTGAGTTGTTCAGCTCATTTTTCAGCGGTTTATTTAAAATATTAGTTCAGAGGGACTTAGGATAAATAACTTCTATTTACACTTCTGATAAAGGAAATAAAATTCTAGTTCCTAAGCCATTTTAAAAAGCTATTCAATAGCCAATCCACCTGGCTAACGGCAATTGGCTATCTTGCTGTCTACGCATACACAAACTTATTTGCCGTTAGATATACAAAGTGAATAGAATCTGAGTTCTTTTGTTTTTTATGAGACTTGCATATACTAAATCACAACCAATTCCTCCCAAATATTTAATAATTTGCTGTAATCTGGTTATGAAGCATGAGTAGCATCTTTGTTAACACTTCTCAATGTTCCATTTAAATTTCTTAGGTGATATATTTTCAATGTCTAAATTTTTCCAAAGAAAAAAGTAGATTAATTGCAATATTTGTGGTGAATGCTGATACATATATGCTTTTGGATTCATCATATACCATTTTTTATTGATAGTTTGTAATTTGCATTCAGTGGCCGTCCTTCTATTAAAGGTTGCTTTCTTTCAAGACCGCCGCGCGGTGAGTCAATTTCCAAAAAGATGAGTATTTAACTATGTTGAACCATGTCTTACTAGATGTATGGCTTCAGAAGTTATTATTTTTTTTTTAATTTTTTTTTTTTTTAAATAATTTAATTGTATGTTGAGTATTGTGATATGGAGATGGATGATTTTGACTCAATAGTTGATTGTATAGGGCTTAAAATCTGAATTTCACATGTTCTGATGATCATATCTACATGTCTGAGACTGTGCTGCATTAGATGGATGGAACTTCTTGCGATAGGATTTGTCAAAATTATTGAAGCAAGTGGCTACAAAATAGCGCATCAAATTACTACCTAATGCAAAGGACCCACAACTTTTCCCTCTGTACCGACTGAGTGTTGGATCATATGATTCATATGGTTGGGTTGCTTACTATATGACTTGTTGAAGTCCACAAGGCAAATGTCTTTAATTTGAGTCACCTATCAAATTAATTTCTTTGCAAGGGAAGGGACCATCAACTTTTTGGTCAGCAGACCCTTCTATGGTGTCAAACGTCTAATTAAATTGTTTAAGATCCCATGTATCTGAACATCATGTCCACTAAACCACCTTATACACCATCTTAGTGGGCCACCTTATGCTATTTGCTTTGCTGCTTGAGCGGTTAGTAAAGCAAAGCATGTTAGAACTTGGCTGTCACTTGAGGCATTTCTCCCACAATAGATGGCCAGTTAGGGAGGATATGATTGTGTTGGCGTAAGTCATGAATCCCTGTTGGAGTTATGAAAAGAGGCTAATTTATAGTGGTTGTAACCTATTTATTACAGTGACTGTGCAGAGACCAAATGAATAAAATCATGTTGGTAATCCCAACAGGTACAACCATACAAATAATGTTTCTGATACAATGAGATAACTAAAATCCAAAGTATTGTGTTTTGAGAATCCTAATAAAATTATGTGACTCTGTGGTGAAATGTCATCAAATAAAGCTATTTTTTTGGTTTGTACATGATCTTGCATGGAATTATTTGTATTTGTTACCGGGTTTGAACCTTCTTCTGTTATGCTGATCACATGGTCAATACAAGTGGGTCTCATAATTTATTAGTCATAGCCCTTGTGATCGTAGAGAGGAACACCCCCATTTAGGTATATTGAGAATCATAGGTTGTTAATTTTGCAATAATTACTGCATATGGAAATCTATGTTACATGGAGGTTACAAGTATCAGGTGCAGGTGTATGTTTAACTGTCGAAACTCCTTAAATTCCAAACATTAGGATATGGAGACTCGACTTAAATATTTCCAAAATTTGGATATGGGTTGTGGTCGCTTCTCGAACACTAAAAAATGTAATACACCGCATGCATAATAGTTTTTATGATGCTGTTATTATTTTTGAAAAGGAAAACTCCGATCCCAAATTAATCTTGTCTCTCTTACCGTTTCTGGTTGTCCCGGAATTCATAATCCCATATTGATGTAGCAACAATGAACAATGCGTGAATAGTTCGTGAACAGTGTTTTCTAGTTTCTATTTTCTGTTTTAGGAAATTTTTCATTATTTTAAATTCCTATTAGTTTAGTGTCTGTTTTAGGAAAGTTTTCATTGTTTTAATTTCTTAAATAGTTTAGTTTTGTTTTAGGAAAGTTTCCATTGGTTTAATTTCCTATATAGTTTAGGATTTGCTTAGGCCTATAATACATGCTATTGTAATAGTTTAGGAATCAATTATCTCTTTTATTAATATCAGAAAACTAAGAGTTTTTCTCAATCTCTTCTCGTGGATTCGAGTGTTTAAAGAATACGCTGCTATTCTTAATTATTTTGCTTACTTTCATTGATCCGCTGCCTCAAGTTGGTAATAGAGCCATTCTCCATGGACGGTGATCAAGGAGAACGTGCGGTGACTGTGGGAGAATGTCGACAATTGCGTTAGGAACTCAAACAGGAGATTCAGACGCAGTTGAATGTCTAACTGAAGCCATGAATCGTGTGCAAGTTCGAAATAGGCATGATCAGGACCAACTTGATGGTGTGAATTAGCCACGACAAAGGGCTGGAAATCAACATGGTCCTCTTCAGCGTGCTAATTATCATTGCCAGATTCAACAGGACGTCTGGTCTAATTCGAGCGATGATCAGATTGTGAAGGTATTGATCTAGCATATGGAGATCATGAGGTCGAAGCAAATCATCTATATTTCGGATGAAAATTGACTTCTATGTTTATGGTCAACTTGATATTGAAGATGTCTTGGACTGGCTTGGAGAAGTTGAAGACTTTTTTCGAGTATTTTGAGATACCCGAGAACAAGCAAGGTTTGCTTGTAGCCTTTAAATTTAAATGATGGGCTTCAGCTTGGTGGAAACAAAAACAGATTAACCGGAGGAGGCAAGGAAAATAGTTTGTGCGGTCTTGGTTTGGATGCCCTCCCCTCAGGGGAGGTTTGATGTGCGTTCTTTGTTCCCTCGTCTTGCTGGCTCTCATGGTTCAATTTTTCCGTAGAAAACGGTTTGGCGTTCGAAGGTCCCTCTAAGGGTGGCCTTTTTTGTTTAGATTGCGGCTTGGGGTAAGATTCTTACTCTGGACAATTTGAGAAAGAGAAGGCAAATCATAGTGAACTGGTGTTGCATGTGTAAAAATAATGGAGAGTCTATGGATCACCTTCTTTTGCATTGTTTAGTGGCTTATGATTGTTGAAGTCATATTTTTGGTCTCTTTGGCATCCATTGGGTTATGCCTCGGTCTTCAAGGGAGTTGATTGACGTTTGGAGACAAAGAGGGTGGGGGTTCATGCTTGTGATTGTTGGAGGGTGATTCCCCTTTGTGTTTGGTGGAGCATTCGAAATAAAAGATCTTTTGATGGGGAGGAAAACTCCATTGGGGCGCTAAAATTTTTTAGTATTAGTTCTCTTTTTAGCTGGGTGAAGGGGAGAAATTGTATATCTTTAGATGAGATTGTGGAGTTTTTGGGTTCTTTGGGTCCATAGGGTTTTATTTTGGTTTGGTTCTTTGTTTTTCTCTTGGGATGCGTTCACCTTTTGAACACTTTTTAATACATTTTATTTATGAAAAAAAAAAAAAAAAAAACTTGTGCGGTCGTGGTACAAGATGACACGTCTATTCATGGCTATTTTCTTACCACCAAATTATGAGCAGATCCTGTACCAAAAATATTAGAATTGTCAGAAAGAAAGTTCTGTCACAGTCTATAAAGGAAATTTACAAGAAAAATTGTGACATATAGGAAGATCAAAATAATTTTGTTCAAGTAACAAGTGATGTTATGGAGATTGATTACAAGAAAAATTGTGTTGCTCCACTTCTTGATGTTACAGATGATGCAGTTAAGGAACTCAATGCGGCAAAAGAAGATGGTGAAAAGAACTTCTATATTGAGAGCGAGCAACATGAATTAGGTGATAACTGGGTTAATGAAAATTTTGAATTCCACGTCGAAGACTTGATGAAAGAGTGCGTGTACAAGTTGGTGAAGAATCATCATGGGAAGCAAATAACAACACAGTAAACGCAGTTGCACAGCCTTTGGATTCGGATAATATTGTTGTCAAAGATGCAAATTATAATCCTACCCATGAAAATTTCGGGTGGTAGAGTAATGATTACCCAAGTGACAATTGGTTGCCAAGTATGAAGCTTGGTAAGAATCTAGTAATCAGAATTAGTGGGCATCTATGGTCATGCGAGTCAAACTGATGCCTCTTTTAAAGGTGACTATGCTATTGGATTTGATTTTAATGGATTTCAACAATTAGTCCTTGAGAACAGTTCGGAGCAATATTG